ACATACAGGTTCAACAGTACACACATGTTCAACAGTACACACAGTTTCAACAGTAGACACAATTTCAACATTACACACAGGTTCAAAAGTACACACAGGTTCAACAATACACACAGGTTCAACAGTAGACACAATTTCAACAGTACACACAAGTTCAACAGCACACACAATTTCAACATTACACACAGGTTCAACAGTACACACAATTTCAACAGTACACACAGGTTCAACAGTACACACAATTTCAACAGTACACATAGGTTCAACAGCACACACAGGTTCAACAGTACACACAGGTTCAACAGTAGACACAATTTCAACATTACACACAGGTTCTACAGTTGACACAGGTTCAACAGTACACATAGGTTCAGCAGTACACAAAGGTTCAACAGTACATTAAATTTCAAGATTACACACAGGTTCAACAGTACACACATGTTCAACAGTACACACAGGGTCAATAGTACACACAGGTTCAACTATCACACTGGTTCAACAGTACACACAGGCTCAACAGAACACACAGGTTCAACAGCACACACAATTTCAACATAACACACAGGTTCAACAGTACACACAGGTTCAACAGTACACATAGGTTCAACAGAACACACAGGTTCAACATAACACACAAATTCAACAGCACACACAATTTCAACATTACACACAGGTTCAACAGTACACAGGTTCAATGGTACACACAGGTTCAACAGTAGACACAATTTCAACAGTACACACAGGTTCAACAGCACAACCAGGTTAAACAGTACACATAGGTTCAACAGTAGACACAATTTCAACAGTACACACAGGTTCTACAGTAGACACAGGTTCAACAGTACACTCAGGTTCAACAGTATACACAATTTCAACATTACACACAGGTTCAACAGTACACACATTTTCAACTTTAGACACAATTTCAACAGTACACACAGGTTTAACAGCACACACAGGTTCAACAGTATACACAGGTTCAACAGTACACACAGGTTCAACAGTATATACAGGTTTAACAGTAGACACAATTTCAACATTTCACACAGGTTCAACAGTACACACAGGTTCAACAGTACACACAGGTTCAACAGTACACACATGTTCAACAGTACACACAATTTCAACAGTAGACACAATTTCAACATTACACACAGGTTCAAAATTACACACATGTTCAACAATACACACAGGTTCAACAGTAGACACAATTTCAACAGTACACACAGGTTCAACAGTACACACAGGTTCAACATTACACACAGGTTCAACAATACACATAGGTTCAATGGTACACACAGGTTCAACAGTAGATACAATTTCAACAGTACACACAGGTTCAACAGCACACACAGGTTAAACAGTACACATAGGTTCAACAGTAGACACAATTTCAACAGTACACACAGGTTCTACAGTAGACACAGGTTCAACAGTACACACAGGTTCAACAGTACACTCAGGTTCAACAGAATGCACAATTTCAACATTACACACAGGTTCAACAGTACACACATTTTCAACTTTAGACACAATTTCAACAGTACACACAGGTTTAACAGCACACACAGGTTAAACAGTACACACAGGTTCAACAGTACACACAGGTTCAACAGTATACACAGGTTCAACAGTAGACAATTTCAACATTTCACACAGGTTCAACAGTACACACAAGTTCAACAGTACACACAGGTTCAACAGTACACACAGTTTCAACAATAGACAATTTCAACATTACATACAGGTTCAAAAGTACACACAGGTTCAACAATACACACAGGTTCAACAGTAGACACAATTTCAACAGTACACAGAGGTTCAACAGTACACACAGGTTCAACAGTACACAGGTTCAACAGTAGACACAATTTCAACAGTACACACAGGTTGAACAGTACACACAGGTTCAATAGCACACACAAGTTCAACAGCACACACAATTTCAACATTACACACAATTTCAACATTACACACAGGTTCAATAGTACACAGAGGTTCAATAGTACACACAGGTTCAATAGTAGACACAATTTCAACAGTACACACAGGTTCAACAGTACACACAGGTTCAACAGCACACACAGGTTCAAGAGTAGACACAATTTCAACAGTACACACAGGTTCAACAGTACGCACAGGTTTACCAGTACACACAGGTTCAACAGTAGACACAGGTTCAACATTACACACAGGTTCAACAGTACACACAGGTTCAACAGTACACACAGGTTCAACAGTACACACAGGTTCAACAGTACACACAGGTTCAACAGTACAGTAAGTTCTCGCTTTACTTCATGGTTACGTTCCTGAAAATTCGACGTTATACGAACAACGTTAAGCGGATCAAATTTCACCCTTAAGAAATAGATAAAATACGGGAGTTATGTTCCTGAGCCTCCCTTTGGTCCATGAAAAACATTACATATACAGAAAATCATTGCCATTTGTATAGAAAATAGTATATAGATAGTTTGTATTGGTACTCACCGATGGGTGGAGGTGGTAGAGCATGTGTGTGGTGGGTAGTGGAGCAAAGGAGGAGGATCGCGGTAGGGGAGGAGTATGGCAGGAGCGGAGGAGGAGGGTGGGAGTGGAGGAGGGCGGGAGAGGAGTAGGGTGATGTGTCACTGAGACTCTGCAGCTGCCTCCTCCTCCTCCTGTTCTGACTACGGTTCCTCCGCCGCTGTTTGGTCCTCCTCGAAGTTTGCTCCTCCTCCGTTGTTGTTTGCTCCTCCTCGGCTGCCGGCTGTTGCGAAGAAGCTGCTTCTGCCCTCCCGTGACGAACATATGAATCCAGTGTTGACTGCATGATGCTACTCTTCTTCTTCTCCTTATAGATCTCAGTGTAACAACCAAGACTGTCATCAATTCTGCGTTGAACCTTTGAGCTACATTTTCTGTTCGGGTCGTCATCTATAAGGATTTACATTGCTTGCTGGAACACGTTGAACGATTCTGCCATCCTCTTTGAAGTTAGCATTCGTTGAGTTTCTTCTTCGTCGTCATCGTCGTCTTCAATGGGGCTGTGTTCTGTTAATTGTTGCAGATCTTCGCTGGTGTGCTCTTCTGTATGGGATAACAGGTCGTCCTCAATATCCTCTGATTCCAGCTCATCAAAGCCTGCCTGTCTAGCCAAGCTGAGGATATTCCTATTCACAGCTAGGACTATAAGTCCCTGAATACCGTTGTAGTATCTTACATGATTTAATGGGAGAATGAGAAGCCACATGCTGACTCTTACTCAGGTCGTTTATTGTTGTTGTTGTGTACCACTTGCCTAACACATTCGTGATTACACAGGCCTAAACACATTCTAACTTTGGTAAGCAGTAACATAATATATAATGTATATATAATCAATAAAGGCAGCATATAAACATACACATATATAACAACCGTAAAACTGTTGACGCACTCAAACCACAATTTAAGCCACACACCATTCAGGCAACTTTCTGAAATCCCTTCCCATGCTTTGCCAATGTTGTCAATTGCATTAAGAATGTTTAAGCCACGCCAATATTCTCAGATTCTAGGTTTATTTTCTCCGTCTGTAGCCTTGAGCAGCTGGGCCATTGTACGGCATAAATAATACTCCTTGAATATGACGATGACGCATTGGTCCATTGGCTGCGTCAGTGCTGTCGTGTTGGGAGGCAGGAATACAACTTTTACACTATCATGCAAGTCGTCGAGATTGGGAGGATGAGCTGGAGCATTGTCAAGGATCAGAAGAATTTTGAAGTTAAGGTTCTCCTTGGCACAGTATTCCTTCGGTGTAGGGACGGCGTACACGTTTAACCACTGGCTAAATATGGCGCCTGTTATCCATGCCTTCTTTTTGCCTTGTAAATGACAGGAAGGTGATCCTTAGAGTAACCTTTCAGGGCGCGTGTGTTAGCAGCGCGAGATCAGCATAGGCTTCAGCTTGAAGTCGCCGGCAGCGTTCGCGCCAAACAGCAGCGTCAAGCGGTCTTTTGCCGCTTTAAAACCTGGCGCTCTTTTCTCCTCCTTGGAGATATAGGTCCTCTCAGGCATCCTCTTCCAAAAGAGACCAGTTTCATCCACATTGAAGACTTGCTTCAATGAGTAGCCTCCTTGCTGGATAACCTGTTTGAATTCTGGCGGGAATGTCTCGGCCGCAACCGTATCTGAACTGGCAGCTTCACCAGTCATCTTAATATTGTGGAAGTTATACCTGCACTTAAATCGTTGAAACCATCCTCGGCTGGCCTTAAAGGTCTCTTCCTTCGATCCTTCTCCCTCTTCTTCCTTTATGTCATCAAACAAGGATCTGGCTTTATGCTGGGTAACCATAAGGCTCACAGGTGCTTTGTGTTGATTCTGGTCCTCTATCCACACTGCCAGCATCTTTTCTACCTTCTCTATCACAGTGCTTCTAGAACGAGTCGTCTTAGTAGCACTCAGAGAAGAACCACTTCCAGAACTAACCTTAATCTTGTCAGCGTTGGTCCGGATAGTTCGCAACGTTGTGGGGGTTAGACCAAGCACAGTGGCTATGTCCACAGCACGTTCCCCTTTTTCAAATTGGGTTAATACATCCATTTTCGTAGCAAGGGTAATGATCTTATGTTGCCTCTTCACTAAACTAGCATCAGTAGCACTTGATGGGCGCTTGGAAGCTGTTTCGAATGGTTAGAGTACAGTTTTAGAGCAAAAACACTTAAACACGCACGAATTATGTGAAGTCGTAACAGAGACTGGCTTGGCATCGCTTAGGTGGGTGCTGTGACGTTATGTGAGTGAGGGCAGCGCGCCAAGCCGAGAGAGCGTAGCGCGGCCAGACAAAAGTGGGTGATGCGCCGTAGAAAGTAGTCTGTGACGACGCAAAACAACGTAGTATCCGATCACCAGGACGTTTAACGAATCTTTGGTCTCTAAAGTTCAGCGACGTAGTACCGAAACAACGTTAAGCGGGGCGATGCTAAACGAGGACTTACTGTACACATAACATTACATAACAACACACTTACCAGTATCGTAGGAAAAGGAATATGTCCCATCAGCTTTGAAGATGAAGTGGTTGTCCTCGGAGGCCTCGGGGAAGTTCTGGGGTGTTGCCGCCACGCCTACGCATGCCCACGCTACCACACACGCCCCCGCCACTACACACACCCACAGCCCGGCTCGCACTGGTGTAGGGACCGTGCGTCTCAGGTAGAGTGGCGCAGAATGCTGAGGAGAACAAGTAGTACAAATAGTTCATGTAATGTTGAGGCAGTGGTGGGCACAGCTAAACGAAGAGTTAGCTTCGCTAACGGCTAATCCGCTAACTAAAAAGTTAACTTCACTAACGCTAAACCGCTAAACAGCTAAAAAAAATTAGCCTAAGCTAACGCTAACCGCTAACTTTTATTATATGAATTTTGCTTCTTTTTTTTTTTGGCTCTAAAACCCTTAAAAACAGACCTAGAGAGCTGAAATTTTCACATGTTGTCTTGTAGCTTAGTCATAGAGCTTTCCAAAAAGGTATAGCATGCCAAGAATAGATGATGATCAAGGTGTACACAAATAATTAAATGAATAAATGAAATTAAACGTTAGTTTACATTCAAGTTTCAACATTCACTTTATAATCTTTATTTACTGTACGAAAAGACAGAAAGTGTAGTACTGTATAGCATAGGTAGCAAATAGCATCATGCCAAGATCAGATGATGATCAGCTTATCAAGGTGTACACTGTACACAATTTCACAAATAATTAATTTGCATTCTCATACAACCTATCGGCCTTATTCATTATTCATGTAAATATGCAATACCAACCACATACACATTATACCAGTGCATTTTTATATAAGTTATTGTTGGTCTTAATCATTATACCAGTGCATTTTTATATAACTTATTGTTGGTCTTTGTCATTATACCAGTGCATTTTTATATAACTTATTGTTGGTGTTAGTCATTATACCAGTGCATTTTTACATAACTTATTGTTGGTCTTAGTCATTATACCAGTGCATTTTTATATAACTTATTGTTGGTCTTTGTCATTATACCAGTGCATTTTTATATAACTTATTATTGGTCTTAGTCATTATACCAGTGCATTTTTATATAACTTATTGTTGGTCTTAGTCATTAAACCAGTGCATTTTTACATAACTTATTGTTGGTCTTAGTCATTATACCAGTGCATTTTTATATAACTTATTGTTGGTCTTAGTCATGTAATAAACAGAAAACTCTAAACTTTACACGTACTAACACGCAGTCAGCCAAGCGTGCCTGACTGGCTGTTGGAGACACGCATCGCTGCATCACACGCTTACAACAGACAGGAACAAACATGTATAAATTTTGTTAGTGGACTTAAACTTAGCGAAATTAAATTTAGCGGAAGCGACTGAAGCAAGCCTAAACATCTGGGAGTCCCCCGGGAAAATTTTGAAATTTGAACACATCTTTGGAGAATTTTGAAGCCATATGCAGTTATATTGAGGAAATTAGAACACAGCGCCCTGATGGCATTCGTAATGGAAGTGATAATGAAAAAAATATTTTATTTATTTTTTTCTTAATCTCAATTTCGTTATTCCATGTAGTTCATTTTTAATCAATATATGTTTGTGGAATTCTAAATATATTATTAGCAACACAAACAATAGCATTCATTAAAAATATACCGTTCATAGGAAAACCAGGTATTCATGAATTTCAAGGAGTAGCTAGCCTAATTTCTATCACACTTCTTGCTGAACATAGTTTTACGTGATGGAATAGATAAACATGAATTTTAAAGAATGAAAATAAAAATAATCCAAATGAATAAAAAAATAAATAAAATATTGTAATATGTGGAGGCCCCCAGATTGTGAAGGCCCCTGGGCAGCTGCCCACTTCGCCCACTGCTGAGTCCGGCCCTGATGGTGTGTTACTCAAGGTTATGGTGTGTTTCTCAAGGTTATGATGTGTTACTCAAGGTTATGGTGGGTTACTCAGGGTTATGGTGTGTTACTCAAGGTTATGATGTGTTACTCAAGGTTATGGTGTGTTACTCAAGGTTATGGTGTGTTACTCAAGGGTTATGGTGTTACTCAAGGTTATAGTGTGTTACTCAAGGTTATGGTGTGTTACTCAAAGGTTATGGTGTGTTACTCAAGGGTTATGGTGTTACTCAAGGTTATGGTGTGTTACTCAAGGTTATGGTGTGTTACTCAAGGGTTATGGTGTGTTACTCAAGGTTATGGTGTGTTACTCAAGGTTATAGTGTGATACTCAAGGTTATTGTGTTACTCAAGAGTTATGGTGGTACTCAAGGTTATGGTGTGTTTATGGTGTGTTACTAGGGTTATGGTGTGTTACGCAAGGTTATAGTGTGATACTCAAGGTTATGGTGTGTTACTCAAGGGTTATGGTGTGTTACTCAGGGTTATGGTGTGTTACGCAAGGTTATAGTGTTACTCAAGGGTTATGGTGTTACTCAAGGTTATGGTGTGTTACTCAAGGTTATAGTGTGATACTCAAGGTTATTGTGTTACTCAAGAGTTATGGTGGTACTCAAGGTTATGGTGTGTTACTCAAGGGTTATGGTGTGTTACTCAGGGTTATGGTGTGTTACGCAAGGTTATAGTGTGATACTCAAGGTTATGGTGTGTTACTCAAGGGTTATGGTGTGTTACTCAGGGTTATGGTGTGTTACGCAAGGTTATAGTGTGATACTCAAGGTTATGGTGTGTTACTCAAGGTTATGGTGTGTTACTCAAGGTTATGGTGTGTTACTCAAGGTTATATGTGATACTCAAGGTTATGGTGTGTTACTCAAGGGTTATGTTGTACTCAAGGGTTATGTTGTAGTACTCAAGGGTTATGTTGTAGTACTCAAGGGTTAATTTTGTGGTACTCATGTGTTATGTTGTGGTACTCATGTGTTATGTTGTAGTACTCAAGGGTTATGTTGTGGTACTCATGTGTTATGTTGTAGTACTCAAGGGTTATGTTGTATTCAAGGGTTATGTTGTAGTAGTCAAGGGTTATGTTGTGGTACTCATGTGTTATGTTGTAGTACTCAAGGGTTATGTTGTAGTACTCAAGGGTTATGTTGTATTCAAGGGTTATGTTGTGGTACTCATGTGTTATGTTGTAGTACTCAAGGGTTATGTTGTGGTACTCAAGGGTTATGTTGAATTCAAGGGTTATGTTGTAGTAGTCAAGGGTTATGTTGTGGTACTCATGTGTTATGTTGTAGTACTCAAGGGTTATGTTGAATTCAAGGGTTATGTTGTAGTAGTCAAGGGTTATGTTGTGGTACTCATGTGTTATGTTGTAGTACTCAAGGGTTATGTATTCAAGGGTTATGTTGTAGTACTCATGTGTTATGTTGTAGTACTCAAGGGTTATGTTGTATTCAAGGGTTATGTTGCAGTATTCAAGGGTTATGTTGTGGTACTCATGTGTTATGTTGTAGTACTTAAGGGTTATGTTGTAGTACTCAAGGGTTATGTTGCAGTACTCAAGGGTTATGTTGCAGTACTCAAGGGTTATGTTGTAGTTCTCATGGGTTATGTTGCAGTACTCAAGGGTTATGTTGTAGTACTCAAGGGTTATGTTGTAGTACTCAAGGGTTATGTTGTAGTAGTCAAGGGTTATGTTGTGGTACTCAAGGGTTATGTTGTAGTACTCAAGGGTTATATTGTAGTACTCAGGGGTTATGTTGTAGTACTCAAGGGTTTTGTTGTAGTACTCAGGGGTTATGTTGCAGTACTCAAGGGTTATGTTGCAGTACTCAAGGAGTATGTTGTGGTACTCATGTGTTATGTTGTAGTACTCAAGGGTTATGTTGTGGTACTCAAGGGTTATGTTGCAGTACTCAAGGGTTATGTTGCAGTACTCAAGGAGTATGTTGTGGTACTCATGTGTTATGTTGTAGTACTCAAGGGTTATGTTGTGGTACTCATGTGTTATGTTGTAGTACTCAAGGGTTATGTTGAATTCAAGGGTTATGTTGTAGTAGTCAAGGGTTATGTTGTGGTACTCATGTGTTATGTTGTAGTACTCAAGGGTTATGTTGTAGTACTCAAGGGTTATGTTGTATTCGAGGGTTATGTTGTAGTAGTCAAGGGTTATGTTGTGTTACTCAAGGTTATGGTGTGTTACTCAAGGTTATAGTGTGATACTCAAGGTTATTGTGTTACTCAAGAGTTATGGTGGTACTCAAGGTTATGGTGTGTTACTCAAGGGTTATGGTGTGTTACTCAGGGTTATGGTGTGTTACGCAAGGTTATAGTGTGATACTCAAGGTTATGGTGTGTTACTCAAGGGTTATGGTGTGTTACTCAGGGTTATGGTGTGTTACGCAAGGTTATAGTGTGATACTCAAGGTTATGGTGTGTTACTCAAGGTTATGGTGTGTTACTCAAGGTTATAGTGTGATACTCAAGGTTATTGTGTTACTAAGAGTCATGGTGGTACTCTGGTTATGGTGTGTTACTCAAGGGTTATGGTGTGTTACCTGGGTTATGGTGTGTTAGGGTTATGGTGTGTTGCAAGGTTATAGTGTGATACTCAAGGTTATGGTGTGTTACTCAAGGGTTGGTGGTGTGTTACTCAGGGTTATGGTGTTTACGGTTATAGTGTGTTACTCAAGGGTTATGGTGTTACCTGGTCATGGTGTGTTACTCAAGGTTATAGTGTGATACTCAAGGTTATTGTGTTACTCAAGAGTCATGGTGGTACTCAAGGTTATGGTGTGTTACTCAAGGGTTATGGTGTGTTACTCAAGGGTTATGGTGTGTTACTCAGGGTTATGGTGTGTTACGCAAGGTTATAGTGTGATACTCAAGGTTATGGTGTGTTACTCAAGGGTTATGGTGTGTTACTCAGGGTTATGGTGTGTTACGCAAGGTTATAGTGTGATACTCAAGGTTATGGTGTGTTACTCAAGGTTATGGTGTGTTACTCAAGGTTATGGTGTGTTACTCAAGGTTATATGTGATACTCAAGGTTATGGTGTGTTACTCAAGGGTTATGTTGTACTCAAGGGTTATGTTGTAGTACTCAAGGGTTATGTTGTAGTACTCAAGGGTTATGTTGTAGTACTCAAGGGTTATGTTGTGGTACTCATGTGTTATGTTGTGGTACTCATGTGTTATGTTGTAGTACTCAAGGGTTATGTTATGGTACTCATGTGTTATGTTGTAGTACTCAAGGGTTATGTTGTATTCAAGGGTTATGTTGTAGTAGTCAAGG